AGTCCTGCTCCTCTCTCCTCTGAGAAAGAAGGTAGAAAAGGGGAAGAATCTTTTCAGAAAAATGGGCTTTTATGGAAAGAAGCATAGCTCTCCCTAAAACTCTACTCCCTCGCTGCAGGCCCCTGTGTGGGAGACAGGGAAGTCTGGGACCTATGATTTACCTAATTTTAACACATTCCAAGTATTATACAGTCATATGCTGCTTAATGACAGAAATATGTTCTGAGAAATGCATCACTGGGCGATTTCATTGTCATGCTAATATCATAGAGTACTTACATAAACCTAAATAGTGAGCCTCCTATTCACCTAGGCCATATGGAATAGCCTGTTGCTCCCAGGCTACAAACCTCTACAGCATGGTACTGTACTGAATAGTACAGGCAGTTGTAATGGTATTTGTATACATAGAAAAGGTGCAGTAAAGATACAGTATAAAAGATAAAAGATGGTACACCTGTATAGGGCACTTAGCTTGCGTGGAGCTTGCAGGACTCCGGGTGAGTGAGTGGTGAGTGGATGTGAAGGCCTACGCCATCGCTGGACATAAAGTAGACTTTAGAAACATTGTGTACTTAGGCTACACTAAGTTTACTTTACGTATTTTTCTTTGGGAGGCTGAGGTGGATGGGTTGCTTGAGCCCAGGAGTTTAAGACCAGCCCAGGCAACTTGACAAAGCCCTATTTCAACAAAAAATACAAAAATTAGCTGGATGTGGTAGCACAGGCCTATAGTCCCAGCTGCTCAGAGGCTGAGGTGGGAGGATCACTTGAGCCCAGGAGGTTGAGGCTGCAGTGAGCCGTGATCATGCGAGATCCTGTCTCAAAATGTGTGTGGTATGTGTGTGTAGTACTATTTTTTACTTTTTAAACTCTTGTTAAAAACTAAGAAACAGGCTGGGTGCAGTGGCTCATGCCTGTAATCCCAGCACTTTGGGAGGCTGAGGCAGGTGGATCATGAGGTCAGGAGTTCGAGACCAGACTAGCCAACATGGTGAAACCCTGTCACTACTAAAAATACAAAAATGAGCTGAGCATGGTGGCGAGCGCCTGTAATCCCAGCTACTCAGGAGGTGAGGCAGGAGAATTGCTTGAACCCGGGAGGCAGAGATTGTTTTGAGCCGAGATCGCACCACTGCACTCCAGCCTGGGGGACAGAGCGAGACTCCGTCTAAAAAAAACTAAGAAACACACACATTAGCCTAGACATGACAGGATTGTGAATATCACTATCTTCCACCCCCACATCTTGTCCCACTGGCAGATCTTCAGGGGTAACAACAAGCATGGAGCTGTCATCTCTAAGATAACAATGCCTTCTGGAAAACCTCCTGAAGGACTTGCCTGAGGCTATTTTACAGATAACTTTTTTTTTTTAGTAGGCGTACAGTGTAAAATAACTACTAAAAGCACAGTATAGGCTGGTGTGGTGGCTCACACTTATAATCCCCAGTATGTTGGGAGGCTGAGGTGAGAGGGTCGCTTGAGCTCTGGAGTTCAAGACCAGCCTGGCCAATGTGGGGAGACCTGTCTCTCCAAAATATCAGAATTACCCAGGCATGGTGGTGTGCTCCTGTAGTCCCAGCTATTCAGGAGGCTGAGGGGAGGATCACTTGAGCACAGGAGGTTGAGGCTGCAGTGAGCCGTGGCTGCACCCCACCTTCCAGTCTGAGTGTGTCCCTTTCTCAATTGAAAGAAAAAAATTAAGTATAGTAAATACATAAGCTGGTAACATAATTTATTAAGTATTAGTACAGTGCATAATCTTATGTGCTGTACTTTCATATGACTGGCAGCGCAGTAGATTTGTTTACACCAGCGTCACCACAAACATTAGTAACATGTTGCACTGCATTACAATGACTTGGAAGTCACTAGGTAATAGGCGCCATTACACTCCCTTCCACCAAGGGAATACAATGGCTTTTTAATTTCTTTTCAGACTGGAAGGTTGTATCTGAATCGCCACCAGAACAAGCCCTTTCTGAAGAATCATTCCAACACCCAGGTGTAGAGATGCCCCCTGAGGATTCAGACCACAGGACCAGTGAACATGAGAAGAGCTTCAACTTGAGACCAGTCCTCTCTCCACAGCAGAGAGTGCCTGTGGAGGCGAGACCTCGCAAATGTGAGGCACATACCAAGAGCTTCAAGAACTCGGAAATACTGAAACCTCTCAGAGCAAAACCATATGCATGTAATGAGTGTGGCAAAGCCTTCAGTTACTGTTCTTCCCTTTCTCAGCACCAGAAGAGCCACACTGGAGAGAAGCCCTATGAGTGCAGTGAGTGCGGGAAGGCCTTCAGCCAGAGCTCCTCTCTCATTCAGCACCAGAGGATTCACACTGGAGAGAAACCTTACAAGTGCGGTGAATGTGGAAGAGCCTTCAGCCAGAACGCCAACCTCACCAAGCACCAGCGAACCCACACCGGAGAAAAGCCCTACAGATGCAGGGAGTGTGAGAAAGCCTTCAGTGACTGCTCAGCTCTTGTTCAACATCAGCGGATTCATACTGGAGAGAAGCCCTACGAATGCAGTGACTGCGGGAAGGCCTTCCGTCACAGCGCGAACCTCACGAACCACCAGAGGACTCACACCGGGGAGAAGCCCTACAAGTGCAGCGAGTGTGGGAAGGCCTTCAGTTACTGTGCAGCCTTTATTCAGCACCAGCGAATTCACACCGGGGAGAAGCCCTATAGATGTGCCGCGTGTGGGAAGGCCTTCAGCCAGAGTGCAAACCTCACCAACCACCAGAGGACTCACACTGGGGAGAAGCCGTACAAGTGCAGCGAGTGTGGGAAAGCCTTCAGCCAGAGCACGAATCTTATAATCCACCAAAAGACCCACACCGGCGAGAAGCCATATAAATGTAATGAATGCGGGAAATTCTTCAGTGAGAGCTCAGCCCTTATTCGACATCACATAATCCACACTGGAGAAAAACCTTATGAGTGCAACGAGTGTGGTAAAGCGTTTAACCAGAGCTCATCCCTCAGTCAGCATCAGAGAATCCACACAGGCGTGAAACCCTACAAATGCAGCAAGTGTGGGAAGGCCTTCAGATGCAGCTCTGCCTTCATTAGACATCAGAGACTCCACACCGGAGAGTAACCAGGAACACGGTGGAAGTGGAGAGAGCCCCAGAAATGCCTACTCAGGACTAAGGACAATGGGTGAGGACCCTGAGAAATGCTAAAGGCATGAAAGCATCTGAGGACATCTAGAGTCTGTAGCCCAGAGCCACATGCAGAAACACCTTCAATAAATAGCCACAATTTCATATGCTGCATGTGGATGCTCAGGAGCTCTCCTTCCTTCTCTAAGCATCAAAGGATCCAGGGCTCCCTCCATTCCAGTGTACGTTTGCCTTTATTAAGACAGTGGGCCAAGCACTTTATTTGGTAAGCACTCTAGAAACCTGAGTTTATTTGGAGTAAGTGACCAAATCCATGAGTAAAGAACTTGGTTCCTACATCAAAGCCAAGTCTTTGGGCAGTGCAGCTAGTTTCTCCTGGAGGTAAAGAGAAATGTTGTGAAATAACTTAAGAGCATTGGCCAGAAATGACTGAAAAACCACCAAATTTGGGGCAAGTGGAGGTGTAAATACAAGTGAGAAAAGGGATTCTAGAGCCAACTATTAAATACCAGAATCTCCTTAAAGTGGGGAACGTTCCTTAATATTCCAGAACTCAGAAAACCACAGCCAGGCCTAGCCTTTGTAGAGCTTGTTGCTGTTAGAAAGATCTCACCCAGAGGCTACTGGGGTTGAGGGTAGAGCATGCTGCTAATGTACTGAGACACATCCCTTTCCATGGAGTAGGAAGCACCCAGAATGGGGAGATGTGACAGCCATGCTGGACTCAGGCAGGTGAGGCATACACTGCCCCAGGCTCTTCCTCCTCCCTCCCTCATGGAGAACGGTACAACATTCCCTTTGTACTAAAACTCCAGATTTTTGGCTTTGGCATGCTTACTGTGTTATTTACTGTTAACTTGTTGAGCTGGTACGGTTCCTTCTAGGACACTGGAATGGAATGTTTTTGTGCCAGTCCCTCACTCTCATCACTGAGGCTGGAGTGCAGTGGTACAGGTCATACATAGCTTACTGAAGCCTCCACTCCTGAGTAAAGGTCTGGCTATGTGGCCCAGGCTGGTCTTAATTCCTGACCTCAAGGAATGCTCCTGCCACAGCCTCCCAAAGTGCTGAGTATAGGAACAAACCACTGCACCCAAAATAGAATCCTGTATCTCAGGGGACTCAGGTAGTTCTTTACACTTAAGTCAGTTCTCCAACTTCGGGTGACATAAAAGCACTGACTTAAAAGAGACCACTAGCAAAAATTAATGTGCAAAGAAAATGAGTCATATGGGGGAAACTCCATTCTTGGGGCAACCATTTCCAACTCCCTTTACTCCAGTATCCAGAATCCTCTCCCAGCTGGTGCTTCACACTACTCAGGAGTTGCAGGGTTCATCCCAGAGCAAAAGGGAGTGACGAGCACAGGCTCTACAAGTAGATCAGAAGAACAGAACAGTGGGAAGATGAGACAGCAGAAAATACTTTAATCCAAGTGAATTCAGAGAAAAGGCTGGAAGAACAGTTTAGTCACTCCAACAGATGACTGGAACCTCACTTTCACAGGACCAAAGGATGAGTGCTGGTCAGGTTTGTTGCATCATTGGTTCTGAGCCCTGGCTGTGCACTGGAATGGCGATAGCAAAATGGGTCCTGGGCCCCCAACCCACTCATAGCTTCAGGTGGCCGGGGATGGAGAGCTGCACTCCCCATATGTTTGTGTTGAACTGCAGGTTTTGTTAGAGCATTTCTTAGGAAAAGCCTCATGAACAGTCAAGTGCTTCCTTTCTGAGCTCAGCCCAGCCCATACAGGGCAGTTTTGTTACCCACAAGGTGCTTCTTCTCCGCAGGTTCTGCCACCCTGACTCCACTGACCGCCCCGCAAAGGAGCTAGCTCCGTCAAGGAAGACACCACACCAAAAAATCCACCAGTTGTTAAATGACCTTTATTGAAATATTTTCCTTTATGCTTCTTAACTCTGTGGGAAAAGGGAAAAAAAAAAAAAATCAGTAAATAAGGTAAAGTAAAAAGATTATCTCCTAACTAACTCCACCAGTAACCATTTCCAAAACTTCCTAATCTCCATGAATACCCTGGATGGTCCCCCTTTTGCCCCTATTGCAACAAGTGAAGCAGAAGTCACTTACAGCTGGGCATTCCACAGCACCACTGTTGATGTCATCTATGATGTCGTGAGGGTGGCGGCCATCAACATTACAGCCCACAGACTGGGCAGTCCCCAGGATCTCTTTAATGGTTCCTTTAGGAAAGAAATGATGGCACTGGAGGTGCTGGCTCAGTCCCTTACAATCCTCAGATACTGGGAGATACTTAAGGGTTTCATAGCAGGCAATGGAAACAATGATGTTACTGTTCCTCTGATAAGAGTTCAGAGCTCCATCTAGTCACAGCCCTGAATGCAAAGCTTCCATGGGTCCTTGATGCCCAGATTAAACATCCATTCTTTCAATCGCAGAAAACTCTGCACCCCATCTTGGGTCTCACTGAGTACCCTTCAAGTGGGAAGAGTGTTAACCACTCATACAAGTACAGGTTACAGCAGTTACATGTCATCCTGCTCTTACCAGAGAGTTCTCTGGCTAAAGATCGGTGCCGCATCTGTCGAGCAATGTTGACAATCTCATCGAAAGTGATATTCCCGCTGTGTTTAACTGCAGAAAAGAGGAAACAGCAAAAGCTTTGTTACAGTCTGAAGCCAAAGCAGATCAAGAGTCCTTCATCTCATTTCTAGGCTGTTCCCATGCTTTCGGCACAGGGTCATCCACATGCAGAACAACCCTGTTTCCTAAGCTGGGGTTTACTATCAGCTCACCACTGGACTGCACCAGCCAACAGAGACCTGGTCAGGTGCAGTGGCGGGTGGCTAAGGGCAAAACGAAGCCTTCACAAAACTGACGTGGCAGAAACTTTGAGAGATGAGAAATGACAAGCTTAAATTACTGGGGACAGTTAAACTACCCAGTACCTGCCAGTTCTATTTGGCCTCCTGATTATAAGTCACTGTTGCTGACATCTTCCTCCCACATAAACTGGTTGGGGCCTGCCCCACACAGGGACTACATGGCACTTTTGAGACAGAGTCTCACTCTGTCACCCAGACTGGAGTGCAGTAGCACACTCTTGGCTCACTGCTGCAACCTCTGCCTCCCGGGTTCAAACGATTCTCCTGCCTCAGCCGCCCAAGTAGCTAGAACTACAGTCGTGCACCACCATGCCAGGCCAATTTTTGTATTTGTTTTTTGGTGGAAATGGGGTTTCACCATGTTGGCCAAACTGGTCTTGAACTCCTGACCTCACGTGATGCATCGCACCAGGCCTACATGGCATTTTGATACTGCCTGGCTCTAGCAGCCTTAACCAATCAACACCAAAAACCCACGTCAACCTCAGATTTCCTTCAAGGGAAAACATGGCCATGTATATCAAACATCTCACAAACCATTACCAAAACCAAACTAGGAAAAAGACAACTCACTGTTTTTCTGTTTCTTTCTGTCTCTTGGTGGTTCCTTAAGGGCTTTGATGATCAGGGCAGAGGCAGAAGGCACCACCTCAATCTGCAGAAGAGATTTTTGAGTAAATCAACTACTCCACCTCCAATGAATACTGCATGCACAGTGGCTCTCAAAAATCACGGGCCTCACCATCCAAGCCTTTGCCCTAGGTCTGTGCTCTTGACAAAGCCTCCCCAACAAGGTAAAATTACTCTCAGCTCACCACTGGTGGCAGAAATACTCTATTCAGGAAGCACACAAGTAAATACCTGGGCCTGTCTGTTCTGAATGGTCAGTTTCACTGTAATCCTCAGGCCCTTCCAGTCACCCGTTGCCTTGGCAATGTCATCACCAACCTTTTTTGGAGACTGTAGAAATAAAGGCATGTAATCAACATGGGTGTCCATAGATGAACCACAGCCTTGAAGCCTGTCCACCACTTCCCACTTGGCAACAAAGGAAGCCATTTCAAGTACCTAAGGATACCCTCCCAATAGGAGCACAGCTATCACCACAGCATAAATTGGGGGACGGGGTTGTGTTGTCCAGGACTGTAAGCTACAGATTCGGCAACAATGGAGCCTAGACCCCCTCATAAGTGCCTATGTGCTTTAAGGAGGGGTATTTTCAGCCCTGGTGACGTTAGAATCACCTAGGGAGCTTTCAAGAGACTAGGCTCCCATGTCAGACCACCCACATCCACCTGCCTGGGAGTATGGACATTTGCTACTTGGAAATTCTTCTCTATTAACCTTTAGCCTAAACAATAGGCTAAGTGTCCCTTAAGTGCCAGCTGAGCTAAGGGTCAAAGATGCAGGCTAAGAAAGACCAATGGGAAAGAGCATTTGGGACAGGGGACCACTGTGCAGGGATTAGGCAAAGTCCTAATGAAATCCAGGGAAATCCAAGTACAGAATGACAGGGAAGCTGGCAGTTGCTCTGTAGACATGAGGCACAGCTTGTCACGTCAACCGCTAGGTTTATTTCTACAACACAGTTGGAAATGCTCACTGGATTTTCACTCCTACCCCATTTAATCTCCCTAACAATGCCATGCCCACTTCCCTAACGAAATACAGATATTGGCTGCCCGATGTCACAAAGCCACTCCGGACTTCCAAACTCACTTGGGCCCACCCCTCACGAACACCAAAGCAGCAGTGGAGACATGTGGAGGTAATTACAGTTTAAAGGCACCGGGTTCGATTTTCCACTCACGATCTTCCTAAGGTACCTAACACTAGTTCAGTGGCTTAGGCCTGGTGAAGGGTGACAGTCCAAGCCATGACGGCACCTCTGGCACAGTCGTGACTCCACGAGCCGGCGCTTAACACTGCTCTAAATAAAGAAATGCCCCTTGGCGGGGATTACTTACCAGACCCAGGGGGCCGATCTTAGGGGCAAGCGCAGAAGTGGCACCGACTTCACCCCCAGTGCACCTCAGGTATACTGGGGGGGAAAAAAGGGTTAGTGTCTCCGCAGAGGGAGCCCCCGAGCCACAACCCTCTCAGCGTCTTTCCGGGGCTGGACACACCACCCCCTCTGCCTCTTCTCGAAACGGCACCAAGCGAGAGGCTGGCCACCCGCTAATCCCTCGGGGTGAGCAGCTCCGAACCTCACACCGGGGAGGCGTGGAGAGAGCCCCGTCGCCTGCGAACCCAGGCCAGTGGGGCTAAACGCCCGGAGACAAGCCTTACCCTGAGGCGTGCGGGTTCCCAAGCCGCCACAGGTGGTCCGGTCCTCCCTTCCCACTTACACGTGGAGAAGCTAAGGCCCAGAAAGGCTGAGGCTTGGCCGGGACGGCGCAGCACCAGAAAGGCCTCTAGGAGGCAGGGGCTTTAGAGCCCCACATGGGAAATCTTTCCACGCGCGGCGGGGCCGAGGGATGCTGCATCCCGCAGCCCCAGCCACAACTAGAGCACGCACCGACTTTGATCTCGTTGGGGTCGAACTTCGGCGGCATGGTGGAGGCGGCTGGTGTCGGATGAACCCGGATTCGGGACGACCGAAGAGTTGCACCTTCGCCTCCTCCGAGCCGAAAGCCGAAAGACCGGAAATCGCGCAGACAACGCCGGATATAGGTAGGAAAACTCGGCACTCGCGAGAACTGTCGTCACTGCCCAGCCTTCCAGGGATGCCCTTGTCGCCATGTTTGTTGTGGGCATGCGCCTGAGGTTGACGGCTGGCAAACCCGGGCACCGCGGTGCGCCGAAGCTGAAGATTCCGAAAGGGGGTTCGGGTAGTTTGCTTCGGAAAAGTCTGAGAAGAGGGGTTGCTCCCGAGATCCCAGGCCTAGCTGTTTCCCATATCCTTTATCGTGAGTGTCACCCCGGTCCCTGTCACCCAATCCCAGAGCCCCGCCCCTCCCCTGAAGAGTCCGTAGTCCCATTCCGGAACCCCAGTACCGCAGCGACCCCTGCCCCCTCGAGTGTGTGCACTTTAGTTATCAAAACAGTCTGTTTATGTGGAAATCCAGTCCCGCTCTTCATTCTGAGAGTCCGTGGTTCCGAGAGCCTCAGACTTCGTCATCCCGATCTGCCTGACTTTCTGAGATTCTGAGTTTTTGTCCCCAGCACCTGCGTTTGCAGGAGACCAGACTCCGGCTCCGCCCGGCCCATGCCGGGTGGTCTGCGGCCGCGAGTTCGTGACCAAGCCCTCCAAGTGATCGACCTGCCCGCGGGTCCCAACGTGGGGGACCCCTTCATCCACAAAGCTAGGTCAGCCACTGCTCACCCTAGCCCAGGAAGTATGGGTGTGGCCCTCGCCCTGCTTCTGGGCTGGATGTCGGAGAGGGAGGGACAGGCATGTGAAAAAGCAGTCTGAAAAGAGCTGATCTTCTGGGAGGGGTGGGAGAACGATGGTAGTTGGGAGGAAGTGGGGAGGGGGAGGGGGGTGCAGGAGGGTTAGTGGCTAGGGAGCAGAAGGGTATGCTGGTCATCAGGGAGGGATGGGGGAGGGCTGTTTTCAAACCATTTCTCATCCTTGCAGGCAGGTGGGATGGCAAGAGGTGCCTGAGCTGGCTCTGCAGGCCTGGCTGCCTCCCCAGACAGCCCTGCCCCCTGTGGGTGCAGAGCTGCCATCTCTGCCCATCCGTCTGAGGACTGGGTGTATGTCTTCTTCAACTGCATCTCCTCCCATGACTGTCTTCTCCCTAGCTCCTCTAGCAGGCCCTGAGTCTGCTAGACTGTTGGTTGCATGTGGGGTGCTTTGTGGCTAACATTTATTGAGCACTCGTTGTGCTCCAGGTACTGTTGTACTATGCGCTTGAGATACGTGAAGTCATTAGATCCTCACAGAAGCCAGTGTTGGTAGCGTGGTTACCCACACTTTACAGATGAGGACACTGAGGCCATAAGACATAAACCAAGATGATCTCTGCAGTTGTGGGTGGCAGATCTCAGATTCAAACCAGTTCTATTTCATCCCAAAGCCTGTGCTGCTCACCGTGCAATTTCCCTGGGTGATTGCTTCCTGGCCCATTGCCATCACTTACCCAGCTCTGATATTTACAGACACTGTGCAGGCCCTGGGCAGGCAGTGAGCACCTGGCTCTGAGTTCAGGACAGTGTAGTTGGTATGTGCCAAGTTATGTGAGCACCGAGGAGTCAGGCAAATCTCACAGGTCAGGACTTGAGAGACCAGGGTTCCAGGCTGGCTTTTCTGTAATCCAGGCTGGACAGCCAGGCCACTGAACTTAAAAAGCATCTGTTTCTTCACTTTATGTGTGTATGGTATGTGTGTATTATTATTTTCTGAGACAGAGTCTCCCTCCGTCACCCAGACTGGAGTGCAGTGGCACGATCTCAGCTCAGTGCAACCTCCACCTCTTGGGTTCAAGTGATTCTTGTGCCTCGGCCTCCCAAGTATCTGGGACTACAGGTGCACATCAGCATGCCCAGCTACTTTTTGTATTTTTAGTGGAGACAGGATTTTGCCATGTTATCCAGGCTGGTCTCGAACTCCTGGGCTCAACTGACCCACTCATCTTGGCCTCCCAAATTGCTGGGATTACAGGCATGAGCCACCACACCCAGCCTGTTTCTTCACTTTAAAAAGGGATATGGTGAGAATAACAACTGAGGTTGGTAAGCTGAGGATTGCTTTTTAATTTGTATTCTCCGCAGAGGTCTCTTTGGTCGTGATGTAGTTGAGCTCCCTGAGGTTCTGACTGGTTTTGTTTTGGTCCTGCTGATCCTGCTCTGACAGTGTTTGGGGGCTGGAAGTGATTCACTGACAGAGTCTGTTAGAGTCCTCAAAGAACAGCCTTGGAAAGTGCCTGAGGAAACTTCTCTGAGTTTCCCCAGAATGGGGAAAGGATAATACCAGGGCCTCACTGTGGATTGGTGGCAAACGTGGGCCCTAACCCAGGTCATCTGTCTTGTGTCTGTCCCTTTCCACCTCATCCTGCTGCTTAATGTTTATTCAACAAAGAACAAGGAGTACTGAGTGCCTGCTGTGGAATCAGGGCACAGGCAGGACTAGAGAGACACAGCCCCGACCCCATGGAACTCACTAGAAAGATGCAACCCCTGATCCCATGGAACTCACTACAAAGACGCACCCCCTGCCCCCAATGGAACTCACAAGGAAGACACAACCCCTGCCTCTATGGAACTTAGTAGAAAGACGTGGCCCCTGCCTCCCTGGAACTCACTAGAAAGACTCGGCCCCTGCCTCCATGGAACTCACTAGAAAGACGTGGCCACTGCCTCCGTGGAACTCTCTAGAAAGACTAGGCATCTGCCTCCTTGGAACTCACTAGAAAGACGCAGCCCCTGCCTCCATGGAACTCATGGTCCAGGAGACCGGCTGCATGCTCTGTGTTACTGTACTACCTGTCCCGGCTGTTGGGGGCTGTGACAAATTTTCCAGGCTGTAACTTCTCTTCTGTACTCCAGGGTCTGAAAGATTGCTCTGGGAAAAGGGAAGGATGCCGCTTTTCTTCCGGAAGCGGAAACCCAGTGAGGAGGCTCGGAAACGCCTGGAGTACCAGATGTGCCTGGTGAGGGAAAGTGGGTTTCCTCTCACTCTACCCCAGCTCCTCCTCTGTCCGTGTGGAGTAGGGTTCCACACTGCCCCCAACAAGCATGCTCCCTCCCGTCTGCCTCCCCCACCCACAAAAGAAATTTGACATAGATAAAAGAAAACAGATGAGGCCCCTGCTAAGGATGCATCTCCCCTGTAGACTGGGTGCACTGTCATTGCTTTTCAGTCCCTCATCCCTCTGGGCCTCAAGCTCCAGGAAAGCAGGGGTCACCGGCTCACCTGCCAAATGTACCAGTGGAACCAGATAGTGTCTGTGGTCCTTTGCAGCTGCTTAAGTGTATGTTCTTTGCCTGGTTTGTCTACTCTGCAAGGATGTTTTGTTTTAATACTTTTTAAAAATTATTTTTATCCTTAGGCAAAAGAAGCTGGGGCAGATGACATTCTCGACATCTCTAAATGTGAGCTCTCAGAGGTAAACTGAGCACCATGTCGGGCTGTGAATTGGATCTGTCCCATTTTCTTGGTTCATGTGTCCCTAGGAAAGACAGAGGTGGACTGGGGCTTTAGAAAGGCCAGAAGCACTAGTCACGAGATATTTCCTTAGATTTTGTTCTTGTCCAAAAGCATTGAGATGATCTTTTGGCCTCAACATAATATAGTTCCCAAACGACAAGGAGTCGAAGTGGAAAATGTACCTACAGACTCTCAGGGTGCTGGAAGGGCCTGGCATTCTCCAACCCTGAAGGGGTTCACGATGGGGACAGGGTGGGTGGGGCAGGGCAGTCTCCTGCCATCTGACTGAGAGAAGGGCTGGCCACATCCCCAGCACCACTGCCCACCAGCCTTGCCCCTGGGCTCAGCACTGCCGCCTGCTGCAGGGTTTTGCCCTTGTTCACTTCCTGCCCCCTCTTCCTCACGTGAATGCCGCTCAGAGAACAAGCCACAAATCGACAGATGGGAGAAACTTACTCTTCTTTATCTTATCTTAGATTCCCTTTGGAGCTTTTGCAACATGCAAAGTTCTGCAGAAGAAGGTGAGAAGGAGCTTCATCTTTGGAAACTTGCTTATGGCATGTTTGTTTGAACCTTCAAGAGACTTTGAGGAGCTGTCTTTCTTGCACAGACACCTCCTTTCTCCCTGTTTCTTATGCTTTTGGCCTACAGCAGCATAGGAGACAGGAGAGTAGGCTTTGGGGTTGGACCCCCCCCACCCCATGTCACATTCTGACTCTGCCTTCACTGGCTTCATGACTTGGGCAACTTCCTTAAACTCTTACTTCTCTGTTTCTTCATCTGTGAAATGAAGACATTCATAGTTCTCCTCTCTCAGAGACACTATGAGAATTAAATGAGAATTAAATGAGTGGTAGAAAGCTAGAGATAGAAATATGCTGAGTATAATGCCTGCCACGTAGTAAAGGCTGATGAACCCTGGTGTTAATAATAACAGAAACTCACTCCTTTTATTCTGGTCACCCAGGAGAGATTCCGAGGGGAGTGAATGATTTTTCAGCAGAGCATTGCAGCTTTGAATGCAGATGGATAGAAGCACTCTAAGTGAAGTATCTAAATGAGAATATGTTAAAAAAAAAAAAAAAAGTGTTCTATGTCAACAGACTAGTGAGCTCCTTGGCACTGGAAGTGTGTGGGGTTTTTTGTTTTGTTTTGTTTTTTTGAGGCGGACACTTTGCTTGTCACCTAGGCTGGAGTGCAATGGCACAATCTCAGCTCACTGAAACCTCCACCTCCTGGGTTCAAATGATTCTTCTTCTCAGCATCCTGAGCAGCTGAGATTACAGGTGTCCACTACCACACCCAACTGCCCACTACCACACCCAACTAATTTTTGTATTTTTAGTAGAGATGGAGTTTCACCATGTTGACCAGCCTTGTCTCGAACTCCTGACCTCAAGTGATCCACCCGCCTCAGCCTGCCAAAGTGCTGGGATTATAGGCGTGAGCCACTGTGCCCAGTCTGTGCTGGAAGTATTAGGCGGCTATTGATGCCTAAGAAAAATAGCCACAGATGACCTGGATTGAGCCCTGGCCCCTGTGCCA